TCTTGTTTCAGCTTTGCCTGCTTACACATGTTGATCTACCATTTGAGCTGTGCCTCCATTTAAAGCTTTTTGCTAGTTAACTGAAGAATCTCTCAGATTTCTCTGCCTGGGTTGGTCTTGAACCTACACCCTCAGATCTTAGTCTCCTGAGTAGCTAGAATTATAGGCATAAACCACTGGCACCTAGCCTGTCTACAGCAAATTTTGATAAAACTTTATCATTTGATCCTAAGTGTGGCTTAGAAGGCTCTTAATTTGCAAATATTTAACAAGTATCTTTCTAACCTAAACGTTTGTGGCTAGCAATGGGTAGTTAGCATATCTTATGGCTTAGTATATGGTATATACTCCCTTCATGTGCTTATTCATTTATCAAAGCCTAGGCAACACAGCAAGACTGTGTCTCAATTGGTTGTACACAGAGAGGGAATATGGTCAAAATACTTTGACATGTATGAAAATGGAACACCGAATCTTAGTTTTGGAAGAGAAAGGAGGGATAAAGGAGAGTGATGGAGGGAATCTGCATATGCATGTATGTACATACCAAGATACACTGCCTTGTATAAACAATTGATACTAGTTTAAAAAAAAGTGTTAGCCCCTTAAGGAACGGTGATATTCCTCTGCAAGAACTTGCCCTGGTGCTGCTACGTCCTTTATGTTTTGGCTTCTGAGGGTCATTACTTCTTAGCTATTTAATCATATTTATATTTTAACTACATACACATATTCCTACATGATATGCACATATATAAATAATGCCGAATTTTAAATGTATAGTAAGTTTCTCAAGCTATCTCCTTCACAATATTATTGGGAACTTGAGTCCAACTATCTGATTTTTTTATTAATTTTTTATTGTGAAAATACGGTACAGAGGGGTTACAATTACATGAGCAAGGTAATGAGTACATTTCTTATCAAGCATTGTTACCTCCTTTGTTTTTCCCTTACCATTCCTGCCCTCCCATCTCCAAGACTATCTCTTCGCCCCCCCCCCCCCCAGTTGTAAAACAAATTGCTTAAATAGGGATACAGGTGGACCCATTGCAGCAATGAAATGTACAAGATGCTATGTGGAAAACCGAACTATCTGATTTTTAAAACTGCTGTTAACTACAAATCTTTTTGGCATGAGGTTAATTTAAAAACTAAGAAGGAACATCGTTGCCATCTGGTGGAGAGACCTACTATTACACATGAAATGAGGCCCCCTGAGTTTCACAGCTTTCTTATTCTTCCCCTGGTTAGTCACCAGTCCTGCCAGAACTTTAACAGTTCTTTAAATATGTCTATTTCCATTCTTGTAGTACTACCTTAATCTAGTCTCCTCTTCCTCCTCCTCTTTCTCATTCTTTTTAGCACATTATTCTGGGACAAGGTATTGCTATACGGCCTAGGTTCACTTGGTCCTCACTATGTGATCTAGGCTGGCCTCACACTCTTGATCCTCCTGCCTCATTCTTCTCCATTCCTGAATGCTGGGATTACAGGTGTATACTATAGACATCTAGTTGGGTCAGCTTAATCCCCCTCCCCCCTAAAATCATTGCTTTTAAACTGACTCAAGCTATAACTTATGAGCAAAAAATTTGGAATCAATTAATTAACAGCAGTTTGACAGGAACAAAGCAGAACTCTAATAAATGTTGGCTTCATTTAAGAAAGTACTAAGTCCCATTTGCTAACTTTATTCGGAAGGCAGCAAATGCACACAAGTTCCCAAGGATTTTTTTTCATAATAACAGACTGACAAATGACATTCATATGTGTAACTCTTCTGTGAGCTTAATTTTTTATAACAATTTTTTTAACTTAGAATTTATTTTTTTTTTTTGGTCTTTTGTAGGACCCTTTGCACTGTCCTTGAGCTTTTTCTTTTTCTTTCTTTTTTTTTGGGGGGGGAAGGGGGTCTGGTCATGGGGCCTGAACTCTGGGCCTGGTTACTGTCCCTCAGCTCTTCAGCTCAAGGCTAGCGCTCTACCACTTGAGTCACAGCCCCACTTGCGGCTTTTTTTTTTCTTCTGTTTATGTGGTGCTGAGGAATCAAACCCAGGGCCTCAAGCATGCAAGGCAAGCCTCTACCACTGAGCCACCTTCCCAGCCCACTTGAGCTTTTTCATTCAAGGCTAATGCTCTGTCATTTTGAGCCACAGTGCCACTTCCAGTTTCCTGGTGGTTAACTGGAGATAAGTCTGGACTTTAAGGCCTGGGCTGGCTTAGAGTATCAATCCTCAGATCTCAGCCTCCTGAGAATAAACTTAGAATCTTAATAATAACTCAGAAGGCCCATGATATCCTTTATTAAAGGAAACTTAGCTAATTTGGAGAAATAATTGATTCCAGGATTGGGGTGAATGAAAAAAAGCAAACAAAGGCCAAGATAAACTGGAAAGTAAGGAATTACTCTAATGGTAAGAATATGTCAAGCCTGGTGTGGTTGTGAATGCTTATAATCCTAAAACTCGGGAAGTTGAATCAGGAGGATTGTGTTGAGGCAAGCCTAGGTTATAGAGCAAGATCATTTTAAGAAACGAAAACCACCAGGCTCGAGTGGCTCATGCCTGTAACCCTAGCTATTCAGGAGATCTGAGAATCATAGTTCAAAACCATCCCGAGCAGGAAACTCTGAGGCTCTTATCTCTAGTTAACCACCAAAAAGTTGGAAGTGGAAAATGTAGTTCTAGTGGTAGAGCACAGCCTCAAATGAAAAAGCTAAGGGATAGCACTCAGGCCCTGAGTTCAAGGCCTAGTACTGATACTCCCCTCTTCCCCAAATCCTAAACTATCCAGGCAACAGTGCTTCACACCTATCATCCTACCTACACAGGAGGCTGAGATTGTGGAAACTTCAGATCTAGGCTAACCTGGAACCCATATCCACAGAAGAAGCTGGGCATGTTGGTCCATGCCTGTTATCCCTGGAAGTATAAATAGGAGGTGATGGTCCAGACCCACTCAAGCAAAAAGTGATATGCTGTTTTCAAAGTGAGCAGAGCAAAAAGTATGGGAGGTGTGGGATTTTAATCAGTAGAGTGCCCGCCTGGCAAGTGTGAAGCACTGGGTTTAAACCCAGGACTGGCCCTGGGGTGAGGGTGGGGTGTAGAGCCAGCTCCAAAGGCTTCCCACCAGCCATATCTAGGACAATTTGAGATCAAAACAAGTAATAGTAACATTATATATTATAGGAACCTGTGGCTATGCTAATAATGAGAAAGATTTTCCTTACTGGAGAATGTCATTTAATAAGTGTAGGAGGAATGATAGAATTGGAAAATCACCATCTGGCAACCACCAGAGCAAAAAAATACTTCTCTTAGAATGTAAAAGTTTCCTGAGGAACAGAATACTTAGAAAGTATCCCACTATGAGATACTTGTTAATACAAGAAAAAAACATAAACTTTCTAATAGAGAAGTATAATTAGATGTTGCCTAAAACAAGTGATTAAAATTAGTTATCGTTATGATGAGACAAATGATACCATAATAAGATGCACTTAAGAAGAGTTTCCTGTCTATTGGGTTCCTGCCCAAAATGCATAAGCTCGGCTCAATTATGAAGAAACATTAGAAAAATACAAAGTAACATTTTATAAAATGTTGCATGTCTTTTACATATTAGGAAGATTTGCTAAGAATTATTCCATGTTGAATTGGAACTCCTTTTTCAGATTTTCATGCTTTCCTTTTAAAAAATACTTTATCTGGCCACTGGACCCAGTCCTGGAAAGAGGACACTCAGGTGTGCATATAAAAGGTGAGTTGTGGGAGTCCAGATCCCAAACTGACTCATGAGAAATGTACTTTTTTCCCCCCAATTTATGAATTTCTTCTGTTATGAGTTAAAAATCTCAAACTGATTAAAGCACAGGACACTTTTTGCCTTAAGATACTATTTTTGGATTATCTGTGTAAATCTTTCTGGAAACGCATAAATAACACCATGTTTGAAAAACCTTGTAGATAAAATGAAATTAAAACTTTAAACTTTTCACAATAAAGATAATAAAAATGCATCAGTATAAAAATATCATCAGTGTAGTAGCCCACATACTATACTGTGATATACATTCTGCAGTTGGAAATAGGGAATTTTTTTTTCCCACTCCTGTACCTGGCTGCAGTTTTTGGTTGTTTTTTGTTTTATTTTGAAGGGGTGATACTGGAGTTTGAACTCAGGGCCTCATGCTTGCTAAGTAGGCCCTCTACCTCTAAGCCATGACTCCAGCCTCCCCAACCCCTTTTTAGCATTATTTTGGGATCTTGATTTTTGCCTCGGCCCAGGCAAGGACCACAATCTGCCTACTTTTACATTTCCTGTCATAGTTGGAATCACATGTGTATGCCTTGAACCCACTTGTTAGTTGAAAAGGGGTCTCATGCGTTAGGCTGGCCTGGAATTGTAACCACCCAATGTCAGCCTCTCAAGTAGTTAGGATTACTGTCACTCACCTAGGCTGCAAGTTTCAAGCCAATAAAGCTAGTATGAGAAAAATCTCTTTGGAAACTTATAGTCCTCTAACAGTATATATTATCTTAAAAAAACAAGATGGTTTCTTTGTTTTATTTATTTATTGGGGTTTGGAGAGTGTGGGCAAGAAATGGTTAAAAAGAAAAAAAAGAGCTTCCTGCTTTAAAGAATTTTCCCAGAGGGAGGATTCATTTTTATTATGATGAACATGGATCGACACTTTTCTCTGGTTTTCATAACAAATTGAATTAAAGGTAATAGGCATAATATATATGTTACTGAAATCTAGTGTATTCATTGGCCAAATCAGTGCTCTTTTTTGTCATGGGGCCTGAACGCTGGGCCTGGGCACTGTCCCTCAGCTCTTCAGCTCAAGGCTAGCACTCTACCACTTGAGCCACAGCGCCACTTCCAGCTTTTTTTTTTTTTTGTTCTTCTGCTTATGTGGTGCTGAGGAATCGAACTTAGGGCCTCATGCATGCAAGGCAGGCACTCTACCACTGAGCCACCTTCCCAGCTCCTCTTTTATGTTCTTATTAATATGTGAAAGGAACTGGCACTTTGGCTTCAAGAATAAATGAAAAGGAATCAAATTCAACTTGTCTTTGATTGGTATCTGGACTAATTACTAAAGAATTATTCAGCAATACTGGCTTTCAATATTTAAGTATCCAGTGAAAGTATGATTAATTAAGACTGTTGATTCTAAGAACTATGACACCAGAGAGTTAGGGAAGAATTCTGTAGAGTTAGGGAAGAATTTTGTCTAAACGCCAAGTTCAGAGCAAAACATCAACAATCTCTACCTCATCTTGCAATATCCATAAATAAAATAGGTGTAGGAGGATACAAATTATATAAACTTTAAATAAAAAGTGCACTCAGAACTCATAAGTATTTTTCATTCACTTATTCTAGTTCAATAAAATGCTCATAAGGAAAATAATCACTTAATAACTGTCTTAAGACAGAGAGTTACATTGCTGCTTTTAGAACCTTTTCAGAACAAAACAATAACTACTGATAAACTTCCCTGGTTTAAACTTAGCCATTTGTCTTGAAATATGTTACTTTTTAAGTTGAACATCTAAATGATGCCTTGAAAAGCCAAAGCAGAAAGTAAAATCACAGACAGCCAGAAACTTCATCAACACGTCTAGACAGACGTTTGCTTGTAGTTTTTGGTATCCAAAACCTTTTTGCCACACATGGCACAGATACCTGAAACAAAAGAAACGGTGTAAACAGTCAGGTCATAATATTAATGATGTGGTTTATTCATGTTAATACTGAAGCTTAAGACATTATTTAACAGCATTGTAAAAGAGAAAAAGAAACATTCTTTTCATTATGAACATTTTGTTTTGTCTTAGAAAAAAATTGTTACCCAAATTAGAAAAAAGAAATAGTTTTGATATGAATAGAAAACTGAAATTAAAAGAAACTTACCCTTTTTGTAGGCACAGCCCTGGCAATAATGAGAACCTGGTTGGTGTACAGAACTTTTACAAATTCTGCAAGTGGAGAATTTGTTCTTTCCATATGGATCAAATCTAGATATTTTTTAAAGAAAGAAAAATGTATACTAAGAATCACTCACAGGATTAATCCACAATTGCCATTCATTCTATCAAATTCTACAACTCCAGGAAGCCCTCTTCTGGCTTGTTACTATCTAATATTCATGTACTCCTTTACCACTTCCATATAAGCTGTATGCTTATGAAAAGCATTCCTAAACCTCTTCCTGTCACCTTTATTTATCATTCTGTGTGATGTAAATATTATGAAAACTGATGAAAGGTGAGTGCAAAGAAGTGACTGATTCCATAAAAACCAGGTGACTGGATGTGAGTCATTAAAGCTACTGTTGAATTAAGTATGTGTAAGACAACTGTTCTAAGGGGGGAAATCACAAGTGGAAGACCTCACACTTGTCAAGTGTTAGTTTTTGCCTCTAAAGATGATGAAACTATATATTCTGATTATGATTGAGGAAAATGATATCAAACGACTAGTCAATAGAATAAGATTCAAAAGACCTTGTCTCATTTTCATGATGGATAAATGTGTCTACAGCCAAGAGCTGATTTCAATTTGGAATAAACTAAGGCATGCTTTTTAAGAAATTTTTCCGAGATGGCATATTCACAGCAAAAATGGGTGAAGTCACAGAGGGAGAAGTGGGAGGGGATGTGGTGGGGACAGGGTCCATGGAAGCTAATACATGGTGCACTAAGTCACACTATGGACACTGGGGGTGGGTTGGTATGTGGGAGGGGCTTAGGGTGGACATGGCCCAGGCATAGCAATAGTGGGGAGGAACATGGTGGCCCCTGCTAAGGGCTTTTGGAGGTGGCAGGAAGGAGGTAGGTGATGGTGCTATTCTCACAAGATAGAAGGAATTGGTTGAGGGATGGAGGTGGGGAATGGAGGCAGTAGAATCATGGTCACAATCTAATGGGAGGAAGGGGCACACTAGAGGTCTCAGAAAGGATTTAGTGGTCCAAAGACAGCCCTAAATCCTTCTTGCCTCTTTTCTTGTCCAGTTTCCAGCACAGGGAAGGAAGAAACATATTTAAGCTCTTCTGAGGTTGGAGGGTGACCCCATCTTATACATGAGGACCATGGAGTGATGCTGTCTTCTGCACCCACCCAAATTTACCTCTCTCTAAGCTCCTGGTTCACTGCTTCCCCCTATCCCCCAACCCTCCAGGAGTAATACTGATGTCTGAAATTCACAGCTGCTGGGTGCAAGTAAAGGGAGCACACCTTGCACAGGCCAAAGGCATGTATCTTTTTTTTTTTTAGTCAGTGGTGGGTCTTCAACTCAGGGCCTGGGCATAGTCCCTGAGCTCTTTTGCTCAAGGCTAGCGCTCTACCTCTTTGAGCCACAGCGCTACTTCTAGTTTTCTGGTGTTTAATTGGAGATAAATGTCTCATAAACTTTCCTGCCGGGGCTGGCTTTGAACTGTAATCTTCAGATCTGAGTCTCCTGAGTAGTTAGGATTACAGGCATGAACCATCTGTGCCAGGCAGCATGCCTATCTTTTAATGACTGTCTATCTTACCTGACATTTTCAATTAACTGGTCCAATCCCTGTGAAGATAAAGGAGCTTCTGCTATATAAAAATGTCATCCAATAACATAGAAAGTATTTTAGAAGAATGACTCCCTTCTAAATCAATGGTAATACTGATTTAAACCTCTTCCTGTAGCTACAAAATGAATTTTTATATTCTTTTCTTAAGGTACAGCACAACAACTCAGTTTCTATTTTCTCTTTCTTTGCTGCTTTCACTGGGATTGAACTCAGGGCCTTAACTCACTTAGTTTTCTTACTTGGCTGATGCTCTACCATATGAGCTTCTAACCATGCTTTTTTTGTGCTGATTCTGGGGTTTGAACTCAGGGCATGGGCACTATCTATCCCTGGGCATTTCGCTCAGGGCTAGTGCTCTTTCACTTGAGCCACAGGCTCCAGTTTTGGCTTTTTGGGTAATTACTTGGAGATAGAAACTGTGACTCTCAGATTTCAGCCTCCTAAATGGCTAGGATTACAGGCATCAAGTACCAGCATCTAACCAGCCCTGCTTTTTGCTATTTTGGAGTGTAATCTCATTATGGACTGTTTTGAATGGGCTAGCCTCTAAATCTCAGCTTTCTGAATAGCTAGACTAGCTTAAGCCACTGGTACCCAGATCAGTTTCTATTTTATTTTATTTGTTTGAGACAGAATCTAACTATGTAGCATTTGTTGTTCTAAAACTCACCACCATCTTCCCTCAGCCTCCCAATTCTGTGCTGGGATTATAAGCTTTGTTATAATGCTTGGTTAACAACTCTCACTTTCAAAGGTTAACTGTTTTAGACTCAAGAGAATATCAGTTCATTCCCTAAAAGAGAAGATGGATACTTCTTTTCAGTAATCCCAACTGTTTGGACATGTATGGGGAATACTTTTTCTGAAAACTATATTTTATCATTATAGGATGACATTTTAATTACTGAGGGTTACATTTTTCAACATTTTATAATTTTGCTGACATATTTCTATTACACTAATATACACAGAATAAACATGTCTGATGTGTGCAATGGAAAAATAACTAAATTCAGTTCTGTTCCCACAGAATTAATCATTTAGCACAAACAGTTCCAGATTTCTTTAAAACACAAAACCTGTCCCAAGTCAGCGAGTGTATATGTGCATGTGTAAGTGGTGGCAGGTGAATTATCAAGTGGAAGTATCATATGGAAATAGTTATTTCTACGTGAAAAACACGCAAACCTTTTTTGGAAAGGGCTGAATTCACTAAGGGTGGGAAATGGCTTTGTATAATCATGCTTTCCAACATATTCCCACAGATTTTCATCTCTCTGTGATGGCATTGTAAATGAAGACTTCTGGTTTTGGCTTTTTTTTGGTCAGTCGTGGGGTTAGAACTCTGGGCCTGGGCGCTGTCCCTGTGCTCTCAGCTCAAGGTGAGCACTGTACCACTTGAGCCACAGCACCACTTCCAGTTTTCTAGTGGTTTATTGGAGATAGGAGACTCAAGGAGTTTCCTGCCTGAGCTGGCTTTGAATCTTGATCCTCAGATCTCAGCCTCCTGAGTAGCTAGAATTACAGGTGTGAGCCACCAGCACCTGGCAATTTTTTTTTAAATCACTTTGGACTTAAAAGTTACAGAAATGTTTTGGTAATAATGATTCTTTTTCAATACTAATATCCTAGTCCATCTTCTCATCTCCAAATACAGTTTTTCCCTTACCTATTTCTACCTCAATCTTGATAAATATTAAGGAAATCCAATGTGTATGTAATCTCTGAAAGTTTACAATTAATTGGCAGAGGTTTTTCCTTTTTAATGATTCTTCTTATAAATAATGGTATCACAGATCCAATACAAATATAGTAGCACATATGCTAAAATGAGATATTTAGAGTACTAAAAAGCCACTTTTTTAATGATATCAGAGTAAGTTTTGGAGCAAAAAGGAAGTAAAAGTATATAGAACAGTACAATCTTTACAAGTGACAACTTAAGTAGGCCTTAGAAGAGATTAATAACCTAGTCAACAGTAAACAATATAATGTATTAGAAGATCAAGTCTATTGTGCTGTTTTATATTATTTAATAGGTATCTACTTTGTGCCATTGAACTGTACATAGTAAACGTTTTATTATTGCTATTATTTCTAATACTTGGGATAACGTCATAAAAGAAGTATTCATGCCAGGAGCCAGTGGCTCACGCCTGTAATCCCAGCTACTCAGGAGCCTAAGATCTGAGGATCATGGTTCAAAGCCAGCCTGGACAGAAAAGACCATGAGGCTCTTATCTCCAATAAACCACCAGAAAACCAGAAATGGCACTGTGGCTTAAGTGGTAGAGCACTAACCTTGAGCTGAAGAGCTGAGGGGCAGCGCCCAGGCCCAAAGTTCAAGGCCCCCCCCCAAAAAAGAAGCATTTAGAATATCTACTGAGTACCCATTGTTCTATTAGTCTTACAAGTATCAAACATGAATATTACAAGTTCCATGCCCTCATCAAGCTCATATTCTAGTGGGAAGAGACATTAAGTAAGGAAACTAGCAAGCTATTCAGATAGCTAATAAATATTATAGAGAAAAATCCAAACAGTACAGTGGCAGAGATGATGGGGGAGAGAAAAGATTAAATGCTGTCTAGAATTGACTCTTTGTTACATGTTAGGTTATGAGAAAGAAGCTAAAAAGTGAGTGGAAAACATCTATTTCTTTAAATGTGAGTACACTTGGCATATCTAGAGCATGTTGTGGAGCAGTGAGGAGTGTGGTACCACAATGAGTTAGAGAGGAGGAAAATAACATGTCATAGAAGACCTTGTAAGAACAGAGCAGGGGGCTTAAAAAAGAAAATCACTCCAGGATGTTAAGCAAAGGAATTCTGGTTACTACAAGACAATGATAGGAAATGAGAAAAAAACAAGGAGATAACTGCAGTACTCTTTTAGTAAAAAAGAAACAATAGGGGTTTGGAAGAGGGTAACAGCAATGGAAAAAATAACACAAGATGGATTCAAATTACATTTTAAAGGTTGATCCATAGAACTTGCTGGTGGGTATTGAAGGAGGGGAAGGGGACATATCAGATGCTATTAGGCTTGACTAACTGGATTGAACACTAGTTCATTTACTATGACAAGAAGACGGAAGGAGAAAGAAAATGTCTGTTAGATATAAGCTAGGTAATTCAGGAAAGCAATTCGACACATTTGGAGCTTAGAGCAGTCAGTACTAGAGATATAATTAATACTATGAATTTAGGAGTCATTTGTAGCTTGAATTTAAAGCCAATGAACTAAAGTTGCTTTAGTATATTTTATACAGTTATAAAATCTGACAACTGAGAAGGAATAGCCAGAGCTGACAGGGGAGTGGTGTGTCCTAGAAATCAAAAGAATAGAGTTATTGAAAATAGTTATTAAGAAGTAAAGGAGGGTGCTGGGAAGGTGGCTCAGTGGTAGAGCCCTTGCTTTGCATGCATGAGGCCCTGGGTTCGATTCCTCAGCACCACATAAGCAAAAAGAAAAAAGCCGGAAGTGGTGCTGTGGCTCAAGTGGTAGAGTGCTAGCCTTGAGCTGAAGAGCTAAGGGACGTGCCCAGGCCCAGAGTTCAGGCCCCATCAAAAAAAAAAAAAAAAAGAGGTAAAGGACAACAAAACTAGGGTGGGGTCTTGGTGGCTTATGCCTATAATCCTAGCTACTCAGGAAACTGAGATCTGAAGATTTAAGCTTGAAACCAGCCTGGGCAGGAAACTCTGGGAGACTCATCTCCAATTAAACACAAGAAAACCACAAGTTCAGCTATGGCATAAAGTGGTAAAGTACTAGCCTTAAGCTTAGAAAGTTTAGGGATAGTGCCTAGGTCCTGAGTTCAAACTTTTGAATGGGGGTAGAGGGGTGAGGGCAAGACTAAAAGTGGCCATCAGTTTTAAAGGTCTCCTATGTTTTTTATTTTCCTGGTCCTGGGGCTTGAACTTAGGACCTGGGCACTGTTCCTGAGTCTCTTTCTGCTCAGGACTAGTGCTCTACCACTTGAGCCATAGCATCACTTCGGGCTTTTTGTGAGTAGTTTATTGGAGGTAAGTGTCTCTTGGACTTTCCTCCCTGGGCTAGATTCAAATCACAATCCTCAGATCTCAGCCTCAGCTAGGATTATAGGTCTGGGCCACCAGTGCCTGGCTCCTATAAACTTGACAAGAGCAGTTTCAAGGATTTGGTGCTGGGAATGAAAGTATGACCAGAGTAGCTGAAGGAGAGAATATAACTTAAGGACACTTAAAAAGTGTCTAGATAAGGCTCTTGACAACTTTAGCTGTGAAAACAAGCAAGGAAATAGATGGCAGCTGGAAAGATTCATTACATTTTTAAGATTGGGTAAAGCAAAGCACTGTATCAAAATGTAAGATGAGAGACATTTTTATGTCCATTCACAGATGAAAATAGTTTAGAAAGATAATGAAACTGGCATAGCTTGCTTAGTATCACAGGCTTGACAGTGACAGAATATATGTTTAAATATAGGTCTGACTCTAAAGCTTATGATTTTCCTACATTTCCCTGTTGTCTGTGATTTGTAAGATAAAAATAAAAGATAAAATAAGTCATGTTTTCTAGTAAAATTATATTTAAAAATTGCACTAGTATCTTCACATATTGATAGTGTCAAAGAGCAGAGTAAAAACCAGCAGCTTGTAGCACACGGTTTTCCTTTGTCCCAGGAACTATGGAACTGTTTTGTCACAATAAGATGATGCATAATAACTCACCCTGTAGTCCAGAGTGGAATTATGACTGCTCTATGAATGTGTTTACCTACCTTGCTTTCTTTGAAGTCAAAGCTTTATTTTCATTCAGTTTTCTTCCGCCACTTTCTGTATCAAAATATATACATTTTAGTGAGCAATTTCTACTTATTTAACATATAAGCCCTACTATCTAGCAATTAGTTGCCAGGTTTACTCTTTGACTCCTCCCAAACAGTAATCTGTATCTAAAAGTTTTTAATTCTCCTTTAACAGTCTTATTGTTAAGACACTTAAAAAAGAAAGTAATTATTAGAGAAACAATAATTCTTTTAATAAAATGTAACCACCGTGTCTCAGATTCAAAGCAGTATTTTAGCTGTGGGCTTAAATTTTTCCTATCTACTATAAAATCTAAAAGTTACTACTTTGGTGTCATAGTCCTTGAATACAGTAACAGTATTTCTTATTTATGTTTTGGGTTGGTTTCTACCCGCCCCCCCCCCCCCCAACTTTCCCCTCCATCATGGGGTTTGAAATCAGGGCCTTGTACTTGTTAGGCAGGCGGCAGGCAATCTACCACTAGAGCCATACTCCCAGCCCAAATAACAATATTTTTTTAAAATCCCCCCTCCCCCCCCCTGTTTTTTTCTCCCTTGAGGCAGGGTCTCAGGCTGGTCTTGTACTTGCCTTCATTTCAGGCATGTGCCACCGTGCCTTGCTTTTCCTTCCCTTTGAAAAACCATACATCACTGTATATATTTAGTGATAATGCAGGAGGAAATAGTTTAAATTTGTCAAGAATACAAAACTCAGATGAAAAGAGAGAAAACCAAATACAGACTTTACTAAGCTCAATAAAATCAAATACTGAGATATAGTCTTCCCTTGAAAATCATTGAACAATTCTGCTATTTCCTGACTATTACACTGACTATTACATCTACTTTAGAACATTAAGTAGAATACATTAAATCATTGGGAATCCAGGACTCTTTAAAAGAGCATACAGGATGAAGTACATTTCACACATAATGAAATTTCATTATACAAATAATACTAAAGCTAAAATACACTCATAAGAAGCATTTCATTCAATTTCTATTTTCTAAAAAAAGAAAGTACCTGTGGTATTCCTTGCACCATCCTTCCATGTATCAGGAGTGATAACAGTACCAAGTTTCTTTTCACCTGTTATAATAAGATAAGGGATGTAGAATTCACTGGTGTCTAGTAAACATATAACATGGCTGTGGTTCACAATGGCATCTCCAGTCATATTATGGTAGGAGACTGCTAATGCTGCAGCAGATGCCAACAAACTGAGACTCAAGATATTAACAATGGATATTAGCAAAGAATAACTGATCCTAAAACTTGTAGGATAAAAAGATGGTTTATAATAGGTTCTCATTGTTTATGAATTAAATCTGATGTCTATTCATTCCATAAGTACTAATCATCTAGTATATATAAACCACTATACTAAGTGCTGAGAAAATAAGATCACCAGTATGTTAATGCTCTAGTTCATGAGCTCATACCTAAATATACTCGTTTTGCTAAATGCAGCCCTTAAGAGATATGAACAAAGTAGACTTGTCCACAAACCTTATGTGTACTTTTCTAGTACAAGTTTCATTAGCTTTCATTAGATTCCCAAAAAACTTAACTCCAGCCAAAATATAAGCTAGAAAAATGAAAAGCACAATAGTTGTGGGAAATTCCCTGCAGAAAGAAATAACCTTGGATAGGGGAACCCAGAAAGTTCTTTGGAGAAGATAATAGAGAAGATTTAAATATATGGCAATGGTTCTGAAAAGAAAGAGGACGAAGAAAGAAGATGAAGTCAAATTAGATAAAGGACACATCCTGAGGAAAGGCACAACAAGTTTAGGGTGCACACAGGCATACAAAACAGTTTGGCTCAGGTATGAAGAGGGTTAAGCTCAGGGAAGATGAGGTTGGAAAGATAAGATGGGCTTATTGTGCAAAGTCCAGAGTGACAGCCTCCAAAATAGCCAGGATTCTTTCTTCCTAAGTAGTAAAAACATCAGGCTGTAGATGTAGATTAGACACTCACTGGAGTTAGATGTGTTACTTAAAGCCAAACTCTTCTTAGAGTCAACTGGAATTGGGAATAAAGACCAGAAGAAAGGTCTGAGGGGGGCGGGGAAGAACATAAACCAAATGAGTCATATTCATTATACAGTAACTAGGATAACAGAAATGGATCCTTTATCACAGAAGAGCAAGATATATTTAGCCTGAGGAAAAGAGACTAGGGGATGAAAACTATTTATAAACATATGAATAGCTTGTGAGTTAAAAAAATCAATTATTTTCTAGTAATCTCAAGAGCTTCTGAGAGAAATACTTTTCTAAAACCAGGGATTCCTTAAAATAAACTTCTTTAAAGCTAGTGACTTTCCGGTCCCTCTGACCCAATGCTGTTGTATTCATGAAAAGGGATAGGATGGGATGATGACTTAAGAGTTACCAGATAAAATGCAGGACACCCAGCTCAATTTAAATTTCAGTTAACCAATGCATTTTTAGTAAAACAATAAGTACAGCATGAGAAAAGCCATTTACCGTAGCAAGAACTGTAAACAATGCCACGACTCAAATATGGCATGGGATAGACTTATAGTATTAAAAAAATAAATATTCGTTGATTGGAATAAAATTCAACTGAGAGTCCTGGATGTTTCCTGGCTGCATACGGAAACTCTAGATGCTGCCGAGTGCTGGTGGTTCACACCTGCAATCCTAACTATCCAAGAGAGCTGAGATCTGAGGATCCTGGTTCGAGGCTAGACCAGGCAGGAAAGCTCAGGAGACTTTTACCTCCAATTTCCCACTCAAAAGCTGGAAGCGGAGCTGCGGCTCAAGTGGTAGAGTGCTAGCCTACTGCACAAAAGCTCAGGAATCGCGCCCGGGCCCGGAGTTCAAGCTCCAGCACCAGCACCTAAATATACCTATCAAAATTCCACCCTCATTCTTCAAGGAAATAGAAGAGGCAATCCAAAAATTCATATGGAACAATAAAAGACCCCGAATAGCAAAAACGCTCCTCAACGGAAAGAACACTGCTGGAGGAGTATCAGTACCAAATTTCAAACTCTACTATAAAGCCATAGTAATCAAAACAGCTTGGTATTGGCATAAGAACAGACCTCAGGACCAATGGAATAGAATTGAAAACCCAGAAATGAACCTACAGACCTATAGCCATCTAATCTTCGATAAGGGAGCTAAAAAAGCAGAATGGAAGACAGACAGCCTCTTCAGTAAATGGTGCTGGCAAAACTGGTTAACTACATGTAGAAAACTAAAGCTAGATCCTTATATATCACCCTGCACCAGAATCAACTCCAAATGGATCAAAGACCTTGAACTCAAAGCAGACACTCTGAAAACATTACAGGATGGAATAGGAGAAACCCTGGGTCTCCTTGGCTCAGGCAGAAATTTTCTGAATAGAGACCCGGAAACACAACAAATCAAAGAAAGGTTGGACAAATGGGATTGTATAAGGTTGCAGAGCTTCTGCAGGGCAAATGACATAGCTAGCAAGATCAATAGAAAGCCCACGGATTGGGAGAAGATCTTTACTAGCCATACAACGGACAAGGGTCTCATATCTAAAATATACTTGGAACTCAAAAAATTAAACCACCCAACAACAAATCCTCAAAGAAACAACTGCCCAATAAGTAAGTGGGCAAAAGACTTAAAGAGAAGCTTCTCTGAAGAAGAAAGAAGGATGGCCAATAGACACATGAAGAAATGTTCAACATCCCTAGCCATAAAAGAAATGCAAATCAAAACAACATTGAGATATCACCTCACTCCAGTTAGAACAGCAAACATCAAGAACTCTAACAACAACAGATGCTGGAGGGGATGTGGACAGAAAGGAACCTTACTTCATTGTTGGTGGGAATGTAAACTTGTTCAACCACTTTGGAAAGCAGTATGGAGGTTCCTCAAAAGACTCCACATAGAGCTCCCCAATGACCCAGCAATCCCACTTTTGGGCATTTACCCAAATGATCACAAACAAGGCCACACTAAAGCTACCAGCACAACTATGTTTATTGCAGCATTATTTACCATAGCTAAGATATGGAACCAACCCAGATGCCCCTCAGTAGATGAATGGATCAAGAAGATGTGGTATATATACACAATGGAATTCTATGCCTCCATCAGAAAGAATGACATTGCCCCATTTGTTAGGAAATGGAAAGCTTGGAAAAAATTATATTAAGTGAAGTAAGTCAGGCCCAAAGAAACATAGGTCCCATGGTTTCCCTTATTTGCAATATCTAGTATAGGTATGAGTCAAGCGGAAAAAGTCAGAGACTGTGATGTTAGGAAAACGAACCCTCAAATATGTATTTTAATGTTTTTGTTTCTTTCATGCATGTGTTTCTAACGCATTTATAAGATTATTTCTTTGTTGCTTTGTATGTCCCTCCCCCACAGTGTAACCCCCGCTTTCACTATATTTGATGTCAGTATAACATGTGGAGGAGACGGGGACAAACAAGTCGTTTAAGGATTCAGGTGGACCTGTTGCAACAATGAGAAGTACAAAATGTCATGTCAAAACCAGCTTTACAATGTCGGTGGGGGCGGGGGGAGGGGGGATATGATTGGGTGGGGGGGAGGGGGGGAGGCTGGGAAGGGAGGTGAAGGGTAAATAAAGGAGGAGGCTGCAATGCTTGGTAAGAAATGTATGCATTTTCCTGCCCATGTAATTGTAACTCCTCTGTACAGTATGCTCTCAAATAAAATAAAATAAAATAAAAAAAATAAAAAAAAATAAAAATAAAAGCTGGAATTGGCGAGACCCTGGGTAGAGCGAGACAGTGGAAATACGGAGGTGTAGAACTGAAACTGTTCTGACTAGAAAACACAGGAGTACAGGGCCGGGGAAGGGCAAGGACAGTCACAGGGCTGCGGTGGGCCAGGGTGGGACTCGGAAACCTGTGAGAGCAAGAACGACGACGAGGGCGCAGGTTGCCAGAGGAGTTCTAGCGACCTCCCCCCAGCCCAGTCCTCCCACAGAAACGCCCCCTTCACTCACATTTTTCGCACACCATGCTTCCGCCCACAGTCTCCCCCTCAGAAACAGAAGCAGCAGCAGCTTGAAAACATCAACACTACAGCCAGAGAACAGTTCCTCTTCCGGCTACGTCAATCCACTTCCGGCCTCAGCCAGCCGCTCCCGCCAATCCTATACCTAGAAAGTCGCGGGAGGACTAGAGCTGGTGGGCGGGTCTCTGCCCCGGAGGTTTGCGCCTGCGCAAGTCTACGGCAGCCGGTCCCACCTGATGCCGTGGGTTTTCTTCTCTCCCGCCTTCCGTAGGTGATCGCTGCTCCACTCTCCGCGCATGATCACCACCGCGGGAGCACCCCACGCCGGTGGCTGTGGCAGACGCCGCGGTCCTTCGCGCCCCGCTCTAGTGTCCCCCTTCCGGCTGAGCGCGAGCTGCCAGGCAGAACGAGCCCTTTTCCGATCCGAGTATTTGTCTGAGTCTCTCAGTCCCCGCGTCCCCGCACCTGTGCCCTTTGATGACGTCCCTCATCCGGCTCCTCGCGGACCGCACTCGGCTGGCTGGGACAGGATCCGGGTCCCGCGCGGCCGGGGGGCGGGGCTGAGCCGCAGTCGCTGGCCGGCGCCCACAGGTGGACAGCTTGGAGGACCCTAAAGGCCTTGCCTGTCACAGCGCCTACCCTGGCCAGGTTAGAACGCGACGCCCCGTCGGCGGCCTCGCGATGGCTTGCGCGCTCCGGGAAGCTCGGGGACCGCCGTGGGCGGGGGTCTGCGGAAGGGCGTGCCCCTCACCTGCTTCATTCTGGAAGAATCAGGGTCTGGGTACCGCTCGCTGAGGGAGGTTCGTGTACGCCAATGGCAGCTGGGATTCTGAGAGTGGCCCAAGTAGGGGGTTTCTCCTGAAAGGATGGATTCCCGATCACCCCGCCTGGCCCACAATGGTGGGGGGTAAAACCTACGAAGCTTCCTTCGTCGCCTCTTTCTCTCGATTCTTTTCCCAACCCTTTGGGTGTTATCTTCGTATTAAAGAGACAAGGCTTGGAAGTGATTTACAGTGTGTTTCCTTGTGCTAACCTGTTCATCCTGTTTCCTAGTCAGTAAAATATTTGCCTTTGACAAATAATTATTTAGTGAGTTTAATGAGGGCTATTAGGACCATGCCCAGATTTGCCCTTAGTAGCACGTGCGTGAGCTACTATGCGAAATCTGCCATGTTTCCGTTTTAGGGGACCTTCACCACAGTGTGACATTGACTAAGCTCCTCAGTTAATACTCAATACTAGGTAATCTAAATATGTGTGTTTAGAGATAGTAAACCCCCTCCCCCTCCACTCATTCTGCTTTTGATTACAGTTTAGCACCTGCTAGATTGTAAGACTGCCAGAAAACCACGCAGACATCCAGGTACAGAGAACAAAGAAAGGTTTATTGTGGGAAAGGAACCGACCAAGACCCCTTCTCACAAGGGAGAAGTGAGAAGAAGCACTGGCTATTGTCTGAAATGACCCATATAACCTAGAAGGTTTAGGAGGGCCTAGAAGGGGCTAGAAGGCGGAGACTCTGGTGTGGACCTGTGGACATGAGAGCCAGGGCTTCATCAGGATTTATGACTGTTGTCCAAATAGTAGATAAGGGGTCCTGCAACTGCCCAGACCTGAAGGTCACTCTTGAGGGGCTCTTGTTGCCTTATATGGTGGTAGCTGCCCCAGAGAAGTGCCATCCCAAGGTAAAGGGGGTTGGAAGTTGATTGTTTATTACCTTTACTACATGGGTCTAGTGTTGCTTAGGAAGGGAGCATGCTAAGCTGTGGAGAAGAGAAGTATACTAAGCTATGGGAAGGGAGCTAACTTCGCTAACAGCACCTGTTACTGTGGTCGTCGTTTTGATATGTCTGGAACATTATGAACACAATTTAGCATAATGCTCATCTAACTATTGCCCAAGCCAACATTTGAGTAGTTAAGTGTGTACTTGGTGATATGTGTCGTTTGCTAGAGGAGGTGAAGAACTGTGATATGGGACCAGAGTTAAAAATCAGAACTAACTTAGCCAAGATATATCCATGGGTTATATTAACAACTGGGAAGATCACTCAGTCCATGCAACTGATTTTATCTTCATGATTTTTGGAAAAGAAGTGAAATGAATTTCTTAATCCTAAAACATGATCCTTTGCAGAAACCGTTACAAATACTTAAGAATCCAGTAAAATTGCCCTTTTTAGTCTCTGAGATATATTTGCACCATTTTAGATCTAAAATAACACAGAATGTTGTTTCCATGTGCATTTACACAGATGCATCTGCCTCTAACAGATAACATTGCTTTGAAAATGATCTGTTGACTGTAGAAACTGACTTCATGGCTTAGTTTTAGAAGCATTTAAGACAATGGGAAAATTATTGTTACATGTTTTTCTTAATTTTTTTTTCATTAGATAACTATCCAAGAAAGCATCATGAAAGATAGTGATATCAAGAAGCTATTTTATATGCATCTTTTGTGCATATTTTCCATTATCCTAAGCACCTTCATTCCATCATTCTTCTTGGAGAACTTTTCAGTATTAGAAACTCACTTGCTGTGGTTGTGCATATGCTCTGTTTCTGTAACTGCCATCAATCTCCTATTATACTTCATTGTGAAACCAAATGTATCCTCTAAAAGAAGTTCACTGTCATATAAGGTAAGATTTACTACTTGATAACCAATTTTTGGATTTTTTTTCTTTTTTTGTTTGTCATGGGGCTTGAATTCTGAGACTGCTATCCCTCAGCTCTTCAACTCAAGGCTAGCGCTCTACCACTTGAGCCACAGTGCCACTTCCATTTTTTGTAATGTAAGGATATTAGTCTTCATTGAGTTATATATAGTGGGTAAAGGAGCCTGGTGTGTGTGTGTGTGTGTGTGTGTGTGTGTGTGTGTGTGTGTGTGTGTGTGTGTGTGTGTGTGTGTGTTTGTTGCTGGGGCTTGAACTCAGGGCCTATATGATGTTTTCTCCCATGGCTGCATGCTACCACTTGAGCCACACTTCCACTTCCAACTTTTGGGTGGTTAATTGGAGGTAAGAGTGAATATCATTGATTTTCATAACCTGTTTGGCTTTGTACCTTGATCCTCAGATCTCAGCCTCCCCAGTAGTTAGGATTATGCAAATAAGCAAATATGGCACCTGCTACTTGTTGCCCACAGTGTTTGATAGATCCTTAACATGCATTGATTGTGGAATTATGACTTCTTCAATGGTCATAATACATACATTCTGAGTCTGTATAATATTGTTTTATTTATAGATGATAAATACATGTTACTATCAATCTTACTTTGTAAGATACTGCAGTTTTCACTTATTTTTATACTTTTTAAAGACAGTGGGTTTTTCTTTTCCTTTTTTTTTCCAAAATAAGAAATTCCAAAATAAGTCATTGTAGTAACTTATTTCCAACATGCCTTTCATGACTAAATGGTTGAGCTTTTCAGATATTAGAATTAATTTTCTGGAATATTCACTGCACTATAACAATTCACTATTACTTTAATAAAAGCCTCACCTAACCTTGATTATTATATATCAGTTCGCTGTTACACAATTTAAAACACCTTTACTCCCTTATTTAAAAAGCTTATTGTGTGTTTCTTTCATTAATTTTCTTATGTTTCAAACCAAGCATTTCCCCCTACCTGGTGGACTTGTAGAAGTCATACTGTAATATGAATATGATGTGGGAAATTTTGTAATTTTCCCAGGCATTCTAAAATGAAAACAATTTTTATATTGTAATTAGTATTTTCTACAGATATTTCGCTATCTTTTGTGTGTGTGTGTGTGTGTGTGTGTGTGGGCATGCATGTGTGGCCTAGCTCTAGTTATCAATCACTAGTTATCAGTTTCATGAGTTTTGGTTAGGTAGCACGTAACTCAATACCTAGCATAGAAATGGAAACGCTTTTTGACTCACATTGGCTGAATGGTAAAATATGGATGTATGTGTGATACTTGCCTTGTAAGCATTTTTACAGTCTATGTTAAGGGCTGTGTGTGTACCTGAGCACAGACCTGCGATCTGACTTGAGAATGCCCAGCAAAGAACATGGAAGTGTTTCACATGTTATGGGAACAGGTTGTATTTGTAGATAAAATCTAAGGATTTATGGTCATATCAGCATGTTCTCAAGTTTTCATATTACTGATTTCTCTTTTAGGTAGCCAGATTTTTGAAATGCTGTATCTACTTTTTAATATCTTGTCTCTTCCTTCATGTGATTTTTGTTCTGTATGGAGCGCCACTCTTAGAGTAAGTTTGAAATTTTTACTTTAGATTCATATTTTTTTTAAATTTAATTTTTTTTGTGAACATACTGTACAGAGGGGTTACAATTACATGGGCAGGATAATGCGTACATTTCTTATCAAGCATTGCAGCCTCCTCCTTTGTTTACCCTTCACATCCCTTTCCTACCTCCCCCCTACCCTCCCTCCACCCAATCCTCCCCCCCACCAACGTTGTAAAGCTTTAGATTCATATTTTAAAACATTCATTTACTAAATAAAATGTGTGCAAACCCTGTTGACAAGTAGAGAAAAACCATAGTGTGTTCAATTAATGCATCAAGGTAGGATAACATCAGTATCCCCTTTTTAGCACAGTGATTGTTTTTTGAAAACAGTAGGATAACTTCAAATTCACTAACTGCATATTTATTAGTGTAGTTTTATATGTTTATGCTTTTAGAAACCTCTAAGGAAACTCACTATCATCTGTATGAGTTCCTTTTAACTTGTATACTAAGGCCTACTAAATGTGATTCTAAAGTACTTGAAAGAATTTGTTTTCCTAAGGAAAGTCAATAGCAATATTCAAATAGTTAAGAAACTCATGTTTGTAAATAAAATTTAATACAGTACTTTTTCAAAATTGGCCAATTTCAAATTAGTGGGAACAAAAATCCACAAATAATTCTTCTATAATATTTACTGTAATTTGGAAAGCTTCTGTTTAGCATTAAAGAATGATCATGATGAAATGAACGTGTAGTGTGCACACACACACACACAAACATGTGCACAGCTATGTGTACAGTTAGATGTATTTGTGTGTAATTGCATCTACACAACATTAAACAGGTTATTCTT